CTTGAGCCCAGGAATTCACGACTGCAGTGAGCTACTATTGTGCCACTGCACTCCAGCCTGGGCAACAGAGCGAGAACCTGTCTCCAAAAAATAATAATTTAAAAAAACCCTCATGTTCTTATCTAGATATGACCTTGAATGGATAGAAAAGAAGCTCAGGAGACAGGAGATCCCATCCTGCCTTTGGCTTTTCTAGCTGTCTGACCTGGGGAAATTGACTTAATCTCTTAGAACATCAGTTTTCTTATTTTTATTTTATTTATTTATTTTTTTTTTTGAGAGACAGAGTCTGGCTCTGTGCCCCAGGCTGGAGTACAGTGGTGTGATCTTGGCTCACCGCAACCTCCACCTCCTGGGTTCAAGCAATTCTCATGCCTCAGCCCCCTGAGTAGGTGGGATTACAGGCCCATACCACCATGCCCAGCTAATTTTTGTATTTTTAGTAGTGATGGGGTTACACCATTGCTACATTTCACCTGGCCATCGTTAGCCAGGCTGGTTTTGAACTGCTGACCTCAAGGGATCCACCCACCTTGGCCTCTCCAAGTGCTGGGATTACAGATGTGAGCCACCATGCCCAGCCTGATGTCAGTAAATTCTTTTTACCAACCCTGCAATCGACCACTTCCTGGTGCTGGGGCTCTGAGACCTTGCTCACCTCAAGTGATCCACCTGCCTCGGCCTCAGGAAGTGCTGAGATTACAGGTGTGAGCCACCACGCCCAGTGAGTTTTCTTTTTTCTTTCTTTTTTTTTCTTTTGAGACGGAGTTTCGCTCTCCTTGCCCAGGCTGGAGTGCCATGAGGCGATATTGGCTCACTGCAACCTCCGCCCTCCAGGTTCAACCAATTCTCCTGCCTCAGCCTCCTGAGTAGCTGGGATTACAGGCATGTGCCACCATGCCTGGCTAATTTTTGTATTTTTACTAGAGACAGGGTTTCACCTTGTTGGACAGGATGGTCTCAAACTCCTGACCTCGTGATTCGCCCGTCTCAGCCTCCCAAAGTGCTGGGATGACAGGTGTGAGCCATCATACTTACCCATAATGTGCTCATATTTTCATTTACCTTCTTGAACATATCAAACAGTTATAGTAGCTGTTTTAATCTATTAATTCTATCTTTGTCATTTCATTTCATTGGTTTTTCTCTTCTTCCTGGGGTATAATCCTTGCTTCTTGGCATACCTGGTGATTATTATTTTTTAGAGACAGGATCTTGCTGTGTCGCCCAGACTGGAGTGCAGTGGTGCCACCATAGCTCCCTGCAGCCTCAACCTCCCGGGCTTCAGTGATCCTCCCACCTCAGCCTCTCAACTGGCTGGGTCTACACGTGTGCACCACCTCCCCTGGCTAATTTTTTAGTTTTACTTTTGTAGAGATGATGTTGCCCAGTCGGGTCTTGAACTCCTGGCCTCAGGCTGTCCTCCTGCCTCAGCCTCCCAAAGTGCTGGGATTATAAGTGTGAGCCAACACTTCCTGCCATCCCTGGTATTTACTGGATACCAGGTATTGTGAATTTTACCTGGTTGGGCACTGAATATTCTTCTGTTTAAAAAATATATTCTTGAGCTTTGTTCTGGGACATGGTTAAGTGACTTGGAAATAGCATAATCCTTTTTCTTTCCTTTTTTTTTTTTTTTTGAGAGGGAGTCTCAGTCTGTCACCCAGGCTGGACTGCAGTGGCACAATCTCGACTCACTGCAACCTCTGCCTCCCGGGTTCAAGCGATGCACCCACCTCAGCCTCCCGAGTAGCAGGGACTACAGGTGCGCACAACCAAGCCTGGCTAATTTCTGTATTTATAGTAGAGAGGGGGTTTCACCAAGTTGGCCAGGCTGGTCTCAAACTCCTGACCTCAGGTGATCCGCCTGCCTCGGCCTCCCAAAGTGCTGCGATTCCAGGCATGAGCCGCCGTGCCCAGGCGTGTGACCCTTTTGAGACTTGCAAAACTAGAGCAACCCTTAGTCTGGGGCCAATTCTGCCACCCCACGAAGGCAATGCCCCTCTGAATGCGTGACTCAATGCCCCAGGTATTATGAGGCTTTTCACTTTGCCTGCTGGGAACACGAACGGTTCCCAGCTTTTTGTGGACTTTGGAATGATTCTGCCTGTTTCTATTGTGTGATTCTTTCCCCTGGTCTTGCTTGGGTAATTTCCTCCCGTGCATGAGCTGACCCAACTGAGCTCCAGTCAAGACGTATCCTTCGCAAAGCGCCAGACTTTGTTTTTTTGCACATCTCTCCCGCGGGATTCCATCCTGCAAATTCCAGCTGCTTTGGCCTGCTCCAACTTTTTTATTTTTTTTGGAGACGGAGTCTCACTTTGTGGCCCAGGCTGGAGGGCAGTGGCGTGATCTTGGCTCACTGCAACCTCCACCTCCCAGGTTCAAGTGATTCTTGTGCTTCAGCCTCCTGAGTAGCTGGGATTACAAGCATGCACCACTACGCCCAGCTGAATTTTCTGTATTTTTAGTAGAGACAGGTTTTCAGCATGTTGGCTAGGCTGGTCTCGAACTCCTGACCTCAAATGATCCACCCACCTCAGCCTCCCAAAGTGCTTGGATTACAGGTGTGAGCCACCGCACCTGGCCAGGCCTGCTCACACTTTCAGCTCTGTCTCCTGCGCTCAGGGAGACTACTGGGCTCTGCCCGGCTGCCCTCCTTCCGCGGCACCTGGAAACATTTGCCTCATTGGTTTCTCTTGTGCCAGGGATCATGGTCTTCAGTGCCGCCTATTGACTGGTGTCGAAAAACTCCCTTTTCATAGGTATTGTACAGTTTTGTAGGTATTTAAGGCCAGAGGGTTAATCCATCTTGGCCATAAGTTGGGGAAGTCTCCACAATTTTTAAAACATTTTGGGAGGCTGAGGTGGGAAGATTGCTTGAGGTAGGAGTTAGAGACCAGCTTCAACACAGCAAGACCCCCCCGTCTCTACAAGGAAATAAAAATACTAAAATTAGCCGGGCGTGACAATGTATGCCTATAGTCTCAGCTACTCGGGAGGCTGAGGTGGGAGGATTGCTTGAGCCCAGGAGATCAAGGCTGAGTGAGCCATGTTCACACCACTGCACTCCAGCCTGGGTGACAGACTGAGACCTTGTCTCAAGAAAAAAATAAAACATTTTAAGTTCCTGGAAGGGTGAGTTAAAGGCTATATAAAGAATTACAGCTTTTTAAAAATCACATTCCCAAATTATTGGTCAAAAGGGAGCAGTGGGCCAGGTGTGGTGGCTCATGCCTGTAATCCCAGCACTTTGGGAGGCCGAGGTGGGCGGATCACCTGAGGTCAGGAGTCTGAGACCAGTCTGGCCAACATGGCAAAACCCCATCTCTACTGAAAATACAAAAATTAGCCGGGCATGGTGGTGCGCACCTGCAATCCCAGCTACTCAGGAGGCTGAAGCAGGAGACTCGCTTGAACTGGGGAGGCAGAGGTTGCAGTGAGCCAAGTCGGCGCCTCTGCACTCCAGCCTGGGTGACAGAGCAAGACTCCATCTCAAAAAAAAAAAAAAAAAAAAATTAAAGCTTTTGGTGGCTCACGCCTGTAATCCCAGCACTTTGGGAGGCTGAGGTGGGCAGATCGCTCAAGCTCAGGAGTCCAAGACCAGCCTGGGCAATGTGGTGAAACCCCATCTCTACAAAAAATATAAAAATTAGCCAGCCATGGTGGCTCACACCTGTAATCCCAGCTACTCAGGAGGCCGAGGTGGGATGATCGCTTGAGCCTGGAAGGTTGAGGCTGCAATGAGCCCTGATTGTGCCACTGTACTCCAGCCTATACAGCAGAGAAAGACCCTTCCCAAAAATGAAAACAAACTGCTGTTTCACGTGTTTTGTACAGTTGTAGGTATTTAAGGCAAGAAGGAGAGATGTCCACAGTTTCTGTAAACGTTTCAAGTTCCTGGAAGGGGAAGTGTGGGTTAGAGGCTATAATAAGTATTAGGGTTTTTGATAATAAGAAAATATGGGCTAAGCATCATGGCTGTAATCCCAGCACTTTGGGAGGCCGAGGTGGGTGCATCACTTGAGGTCAGGAGTTCGAGACCAGCCTGGCCAACATGATGAAACCCCATCTCTACTAAAAATACCAAAAAAAATTAGCCAGGTGTGGTGATGGGTGCCTGTAATCCTAGCTACTCAGGAGACTGAGGCAGAAGAATCGCTTGAACCCAGGAGGAGGAGGTTACAGTGAGCCGAGATCATGCCATTGCACTCCAGCCTGGGCAACAAGAGCAAAACTCCACCTCAAAAAAAAAAAATAAAATAAAATAAAAAGTGCATATATGTGTGCATGCAACAGAATACAGAATATTTATTTCCAGAGGAACCCTGGCTGCTCCAGGCTCCTCGGTTTGTCCTGTTTTGTGGGCATGAATTACGCAGCTGCCTATAGATGTCACCAGAGGAAGGCACGTTGGAGGGAATAAAAATCCCAGAATGAGAACCACAGCACCACGGCAGAGGGCCAGAGCATGAGTGAAAGGCCCCATGTCAAACGCAGAAGCGGGTTTTGTTTTAAATCATGACATCTAATGGCTCACACCTGCAATCCCAGCATTTTGGGAGTCTGAGGTGGGAAGATGGCTTGAGTCCAGGAGTTGGAGACCAGCCTAGGCAACATAGCGAGACCCTGTCTCTACCAGAAATAAAAAAAAACTTGGGTGTGTGGCATGCATCCATGGTTCCAGCTACTCGGGAGGCTGAGGCAGGAGGATCGCTTGATCCCAGGAGTTTGAGGCTGCAGCGAGCTCTGATCCCACCACTGCACTCCAGCCTGGGTAACAGAGTGAGACCCTGTCTCAAGTAAAAAATAAAATAAAATAAAAAATAAAATTAAAATAAATAAATAAAATGAAATAGTAAAATAAAATAACATCAACCCACAGAACCCAAATCTTCCCCCAGGGTAGAGTGACACCCTCACTGAAACAAACATGACCATCAGCAGCCAAATTAAACGTGGGCCAAGGGGAGAGTGCATGAGGAAAGATTCGGTTATGCTCATGGATTTGGACCAGTTTAGTTGAGGTCAATTTTTTCAGATTTTTCTTTTCCAAAGCTGGTTCTGGAGCGGAGTTCAGGAGCACGCTCTTCACAAAGAGGCTCTCTGTGGGTTGGCCCTGCTGGGTGAGATTTCATTAACTACACGAACCTCATTCTCCAAGATGCTGAATATGCAGCGTCGATCAGCGAATGAGATCCGCGGTCTCGTGAAGTCAGCTTTCTGGTGAAGGAGAAAGAAACACAAATAAACAAGCAAATAAACGCCCGGGGCGGAAACAAGATGGCGTGAGGGTCAGGTTCCTTGAACTCACGTTCTTTTTTTTCTTTTATTTTCCTTTTATTTTCTGAGACAGAGTTGCACGCTGTCGCCCAGGCTGAAGTGCAATGGCACGATCTCAGCTCACTGCAAGCTCCGCCCCCCAGGTTCAAGCGATTCTCCTGCCTCAGCCTCCTAAGTAGCTGGGATTAGAGGCACCTGCCACCATGCCGGGCTAATTTTTGTATTTTTAGTAGAGATGGGGTTTTACCATGTTGGTCAGGCTGGTCTCGAACTCCTGACCTCAAGTGACCCACCCGCCTTGGCCTCCCAAAGTGCTGAGATTAGAGGCGTGAGCCACCACACCCGGCCAAGCTCACGTTCTTAAGTCACCGTCTGTCCTTTATAGAGAAGCAGTTTGGAGATTTCATCATATGTGTCTGAGGCCGGGTGCTATGGCTCACGCCTGTAATCCCAGTAATCCCCACACTTTGGGAGGCTGAGATGGGAGCACTGCTTGAGCCCAATAGTTTGAGGTAAGCCTGGGCAACATAGTGAGGCTCTATCTCTTAAAAAAAAATAAAAAATTAGCCAGGTGTGGTGGTGCATGCCTGTGGTCCCAGTTACTTGGGAGGCTAAGGCAGGAGGATCACTTGAGCCCAGGAGGTTGACGGTGCAGTGAGCCATGATTGCATCACTGCATTCAGCCTGGGTAACAGAGCAAGACCTTGTCTCAAAATAAAATAAAATAAAATAAATTGTCTGAATCTCTTTTTGGCAAAGCAATCTGACAATGTTCCTTGTTTCAGAGAATCAATAATATTTTCTGAAAAAATCAAGCTTATTTTCAACCTAAAAGCCAACTCTCTCTCTCTCACAGGGGAATACTGTGCGTGATGATCACTGCAATGTGTGTGTGTGTGTGTGTGTATGTTAAAGACTGCTTTGTCATGCAGACTACAGCTACAGCCTCACCTCTCTGTAATTTACTGTGGATATTTTGCATTATGTAGGCAGCACCCTGTACACAACAGGAGATTTGTCGGGGGGAATAAATTCCAGTCCCAACTCAGATGTGCTATAAACTGGCTGACCTCAGAGGAACCTTGTTATCTTGCTGAGCCCAGGTTTTCTCAACTACAACCATAATAATAAGACTTTGCCTCTAAGTTCAGCATGGGGAATAATGACCGTATGAAAATATAGACTCAGCCTGGGCAACATCGTGCGACACCTGTCTCTGCCACAAATTTAAAGATTAGCCAGGCACAGCGGCTCACGCCTGTAATCCCACTGCTTTGGGAGGTAGGGCAAGAGGAATGCTGGAGGCAAGGAGTTTGAGACCAGCCTGGGTAACACAGTGAGACCCCATCTCTGCAAAAAAGTTACAAAGTTAGTGGGGCGTGATAACGTATGCCCGTAGTCCTAGCTACTTGGAGGCTAAGGCAGGAGGATCACTGGAGCCCAGAAGTTCGAGGCTGCAGTGAGCTATAATCGCACCACTGCACTCCAGCCTGGGTGACAGAGCAAGACTATGTTGCCTCTGCTGGTCTCGAGACACCCATGTAGTCTGCTGTCCACTCCATGTAGGATGCAGTTACATTGATAATCTTCATTGTTTTACAGATGGGGAAATTGAGGCTTGAATGATTTACCCAAAGTTAGCAAATGTAGAGCTGAGACTTGAAGCAAGCTGACTCTGGCATGTCCATCTTAACTCCCTGGAGACAAGGAGCTCAGAATCCAGTGGCCTGGCTGCCGCCAGGAGTGAGGAATGGGGAAAAAAAATTGCAACCTGGCTCACTCTTTTGTCTCCGAGGCAAGAAAGAGGCAGAAATGGATGTTTCAAGATGTTGTTGTTGTTATTATTATTATTATTATTGAGGCAGCATCTCACTCTGTCTCCCAGGCTGGAGTGCTGTGGTGCAATCTTGGCTCACTGCAACCTCCACTTCCCAGGCTCCAGCAATCCTGGCACCTCAGCCTCCTGAATAGTTGGGACTGCAGGCACGTGCAACCATGTCTGGATAATTTGTTTTGTAGAGATGGGGTTTCACCATGTTGCCCAGGCTGGTCTCGAACTCCTGAGCTCAAGTGATCTGCCTGTCTCGGCCTCCCAAAGTGCTGGGATTACAGGCATGAACCACCATGCCCAGCCAAGACATTATTCTTTTGTAAACATAGTTGCTCTTAGCATATGGTTCTCAACTAATGGGCGTGTGTGTGTGTGTGTGTGTGTGTGTGTGAAGTTCTCTCTGGAAAACTTTTCTCTGGGAGAAAATTCTAGATTTCACTGTTTTACATTTCAAAGTTGCCAGTTTGTTAAAAAAATCAGGCTGAGAAGGAACACATTAGGACAAACATGTGACAGACTGTCATTAAAGCAAGCAAGACCAAGGATGGAATTTTACAGACTTTGCAGAGAATTCTTGGATCAACCCATGGACGCGGCGGCTGATTTTAACAGGAGCTGCAAAGAGAGTCTAATCCCTTTCGTTACAAATGCATCTGGGGCCAGAGCCCGATTTCCTGCTGCCCTTGGGGGACTTTTTAATCATTTTTTTCCTCCAAGCTTAGAGTATACATCAAATCCCAGGTCCACGCTGACCCCCACTCTGGGCTGGAAGGGCCTGACCTCTCCCAAGAGAGTGGGGGTGGAAGAGAAGCTGGGAAATACAAAGTCATTTGATGGGTGTGACACCGGGCACAGGTTGACCATCAAGCCAGGGAGGGGGCCTTTATGCCCGAAAGTGTCTGAGCCTGTTCCAGGGATGGGGTGAACCACTCCTGTACCCACCCAGGCTTGCCTAGGTGTGCTGTATGCCGAGGAAGCTTCAGGGAAGAGAGACGGAGGACAGAGAGAGTTTGGATGTCCAGGAGTTGTTCAGTAAAGCGAACGGAAAGCGAATGTTCCAGTCTGGGAAAGTCAAATCACATGAGAGAGGAAAGCCGATTGTCACGGAAGGTTGAGGGCCAGGGCTATAGAAGGGAAAACCCCATGCTCAAAATCCTGGTCAGTGCGTATCCACCTTAATGAGTGCGTGTCCACCTTCCTCCACTGTGGGGCCAGCGAAGGGCCAGAGCCCCGGCTGGGAGGGGATCCTACACTTGCTTTTTTTTTTTTTTTTTTTTTTTTTAATTGTGGTAAAATATGCGTAACATAAAATTTGCCATTTTAGCTATTTTTGAGGGTACAATTCAGTGGCATTTACTACATCAAAAATATTGTGCAACCGGGCTGGGCATGGTGGCTCACGCCTGTAACACCAGCCCTTTGGGAGGCCGAGGCAGGCAGGAGGTCAGGAGTTCAAGACCAGCCTGGCCAACGTGGCAAATCCCCATCTCTACTGAAAATACAAAAATTAGCTGGGCGTGGCGGTGCGCACCTATAATCTCAGCTACTCAGGAGGCTGAGGCAAGAGAATTGCTTGAACCCAGGAGGCGGAGGTTGCGGTGAGCTGAGAGCACACCACTGCACTCCAGTTTGGGTGATAGAGCGAGACTCCATCTTAAAAAAGAAAAAAAAAGAGAGAGATAAAAAAAATATTGTGTAACCATCACCACCATCCATCTCCAGAACTCTTCCATCTTCCCAAACTGAAACTGTCCCCATTAAACCCTCACTCCCCATCCCCATGACCCCCAGGCTCTGATAACCAGTATTTCACTTTTTTACTGTCTCTATCAGTTTGACTATTCTAGGTACCTTATATAAGTGGAATCATGCTGTATTTGCCTTTTTTTTTTTTTTTAAACGGAGTTTTGCTCTTGTTGTCCAAGCTGGAGTGCAGTGGCGTGATCTCAGCTCACTGGAACCTCCGCCTCCCATGTTCAAGTGATTCTCCTGCCTCAGCCTCCCGAGTAGCTGGGATTACAGGAGCGCACCACCACACCTGGCTAATTTTTTTGGATTTTTAGTAGAAACGGGGTTTTGCCATGTTAGCCAGGCTGTTCTTGAACTCCTGACCTCAGGTGATCCGCCTGCCTCAGCCTTCCAAAGCGCATGAGCCACTGTGCCCAGCCTTTTTGTCGTTTTTCTGAGACGGAGTCTCACTCTGTCACCCAGGCTGGAGTGCAGTGGCGCAACGTTGGGTCACTGCAACCTCTGCCTCCTGGGTTCAAGTGATTCTCACGCTTCAGCCTCCCAAGTAGCTGGGATTACAGGTGTGCGCCACCACACTCAGCTAATTTTTTGTATTTTATTAGAGATGGAGTTTCACCATGTTGGCCAGGCTGGTCTCAAACTTCTGACCTCAAGCGATCCACTTACCTTGGCCTCCAAAGTTCTGGGATTACAGGTGTGAGCCACAGCACCTGGCCATATTTGCCTCTTTGTGACTGACTTATTTCCTCCCATCCCCTCCCTCCCTTCCTTCCCTTACTTTCTTTTCTTCTTCTTATTCTTTTTTTTTAAATTTTTTTGAGACAGGGTTTGCTTTGTCCCCCAGGCTGGAGTGCAGTGGCATGATCTCTGCTCACTGCAACCTCCGCCTCCCTGGCTCAAGCAGTCCTCCCACCTCTGCCTCTCTAGTAGCTGGGACTACAGGAACACACCACCACACTTGGCTTTTAAATTTTTTGGTAGAGATGAGGTCTCACTGTATTGCTCAGGCTGGTCTTGAATTCTTGGGCTCAAGTGATCCTCCTACCTCAGCCTCCCAATGTGCTGGGATTACAGGTGGGAGCCCCTGCGCCCAGCTGTGACTGTCTGATTTCACTGAGCATTATGTCCTCAAGGTTCATCCATGCAGCAGCAGGTGTCAGCATTTTATTTCCTTTTTAGGGCTGCATAATATTTCATTGTGTGGATAGACCACATTTTGTTTATCTATTCATTGGTAGGTGGACTCCTGGGTTACTTCTACCTCTTGGCTATTGTGAATAATGCTGCTATGAACATGGGTGTACAAATATCTGTTAAGGATGGGTACAGTGGCTCATGCCTGTAATCCCAGCACTTTGGGAGGCTGAGGTGGGAGGATTGCTGGAAGCCAGGAGTTTGAGACCAGCCTGGCCAACATAGCAGGTCCCCATCTCTACAAAAAACAAAAAACTTAGCTGGGCATGGTGAGGAATGCCTGTAGTCCCAGCTACTTGAGAGGCTGAGGCAAGAGAATTGCTTTAGCCTGGGAGGCTGAGGCTGCAGTGAGCTATGATCTAGCCACTGCACTCCAGCCTAGGGGACAGAGTGAGACTCCATCTCAAAAAAAAAAGGTTAAAAAAATCCCACAAATATCAGCTGGAATCCCTGCTTTCAATTCTTTGGAGCATCTACCTAGAAGTGGAATTGCTGGATCTACTTTTTTTTTTTTTTGAGACAGAGTCTTGCTCTGTCACCCAGGTTAGAATGCAATGCCAGGATCTCAGCTCACTGCAACCTCTGTCTCCCAGGTTCAAGAAGCAATTCTCATGCCTCAACCTCCTGAGTAGCTGGGGCTACAGGCGCCCACCACCACGCTTGGCTCATTTTTGTATTTTTAGTAGAGACAGGGTTTTACCATGTTGGCCAGGCTGGTCTCGAACTCCTCACCTCAAGTGATCCACCCAGTTCAGCCTCCCAAAGCGCTGGGATTACAGGCATGAGCCACTGTGCCCGGCCTACTTTTGTTTTTGAAGTGGGTTGGGCTGGGCCTGGGTTGCTCAAATCCCAGTATAGCACCGGCATAGGATATATCACTGTCCTCAGTTCCCAGCACCTGGGTCTCCTCGGCTGTGAAAAGGGACAGTGATAATAGTGGCAATCACAGGGTTGTTGTGAGAGATACTTACGATTTTGTAGAAACACCCACGCAGGCTGGGCGTGGCGGCTCACATCTGTAATCCCAGCACTTTGGGAGGCCGCGGCGGGAGGATCACTTGAGTGCAGGAGTTCAAGACCAGCTAGGGCAACACAGTGAGATCTTGTCACTACAAAAAATGTATAAATTGGGCGGGCGTGGTGGTGTGCACCTGTAGTCCAAGCCACTCGGGAGGCTGAGGTGGGAGGACTGCTTGAGCCTGGGAGGCAGGAGGTCGAGGCTGCAGTGAGCTGTGATTGCGCCACTGCCTTCTAGCCGGGGCGACAGAATGAGACTCTGTCTTAGGAAAAAAAAAAGAAAAAAAAAAGAAAAATTATGACTTCAAGACCCAAGGAAATTGCCTGTTAATTTTTAAAAATAATCTCTTAAATAAACAATTTAAAAGCGAAACACCCACGTATTGTGCACATTGAACGGTGCCTGGCACCTGCTCAGCTTTGAATCATTTCTGCCATGATGGTGCCATCAAACCCCCAGGGAAGGGGAAGCAGGCGTCCTCACGGCCACCAGGGGGCGCCGCTGCCACGGCTCTGAGTCCCAGCTGGGCCAGGCTGGCATCTCCACTGCCCATCACCTCCCACCATTGTCCCCTCCGTCTTCAGGCTGGGCCTCCACTTTCTCCTCTCACCCACTCTGCTATTACTCCACGCTCCCATCCTTCCTACGTCCTTACTTTCATCCAGGATCAGAAAGTGCCCCACAGTGTCCAGGCCACATCACCTTGTCCCATGACCTATGTCCCTTCCCTCCCAAGGGAAGCTTCAGCCCATACCTTGCGCCATTTATCCGGCCCAAGGGCTCTCCCTCCGCAGGTAATGACCTTGTCCCTTCTATCTCTGGATGGTTCCTCTGAGGGTCAGGTGAGGTCATGTGTGGGGAAGTCGCTCATAGAGACACACCAGGGTCTGGTGCAACGGCTCACACCAGTAATCCCAACACTTTAGGAGGCCAAGACAGGAGGATCGCTGGAGGCCAGGACTTCAAGACCACCCTGGGAACAATGGCAAGATCCCATCTCCACAAATAACTTAAAAATGAGCTAGGTGTTGAGGCATGAACTTGTAATCCCAGCCACTCAGGAGGCTGAAGTGGGAGGATCGTTCGAGGCCAGGAGTTTGAGGCTGCAGTGAGCTATGCTCGTGCCACTGCACTCCAGCCCGGGTGACAGAATGAGACCCTGTCTCAAAAATAAATAGGCAAATAAAAATTAGCCAGGTGGGGTGACACAAGCCTATAATTCCAGCACTTTGGGAGGTGGAGGCAGGAGGATTGCTCGAGGTCAGGAGTCTGAGACCAGCCTGGGCAACATCTCTATAAAAAAATTCAAAACTGAACCAGATGTGGTGGTGGGCACCTATAGTCCCAGCTACTCAGGAGGCTGAGGCGGGAGGATCACTTAAGGCCCGGAGTTCAAGGCTGCAGTGAGCTATGACTGCACCACTGCACTCCAGCCTAGATCACAGAGTGTAACTGTGTCTCTAAAACAAAACAAGACAAGACAAAACCACAGCCCGGAGGTGGTGGCAGCGTTGGGACAGCTGCAGTGAGCCTCAGGCCAGAGGCCCATGCCTTCCTCAGGAGCTCTGAGGAGTCCTTCCTGGTCAGAACGCACTCTGGGAATTGCACTTTTCCAGCAGGGCTGGTGAGGTGTCCACAGGCTTGAGCAGACCTGGCCCCCGGAAGAGAGACCTGTGGGCATCGAGGCCAACTCTAAAGGGGTAGCTGCATTTGTAGCCCAGCTCCTGGGCACTTACTAGGCCCGAATGTGGGCTCCGCGTGGCCAGAGAATTGGAAAATGCAGATTGTTTTTTCACAGGAAATCTCCAAATGTTTGAATATTGGCAGTTAGTTACAATTATTTTCAAACTCTTCATGGGCCAGTCAAGGCAATCTACAGCTGGGCTTGGCCTGTGGGTACCATTTTGCAGCCTCTGATGGAAGCTTCTTTTTTTGTTTTTGAGACAGAGTCTTGCTCTGTCGCCCAGGCTGGAGTGGAGTGGTGCAATCTCGGCTCACTGTAAACTCCGCCTCCCGGGTTCACGCCATTCTCCTGCCTCAGCCTCCTGAGTAGCTGGGACTACACGCGCCCATCACCATGCCCGGCTCATTTTTTGCGTTTTTGGTAGAGACGGGGTTACACCGTGTTAGCCAGGATGGGCTTGATCTCCTGACCTCGTGATCCGCCCACCTAGGCCTCTCAAAGTGCTGGGATAACAGGCGTGGGCCACCACGCCCGGTCGATGGAAGCTTCTTGAAGACACTGGTCAGTGCTAATGGTCAATGCCTTGTAGCACTGACTACAGGGATAACCTGAATTTTAAGCTGCCCGGGTGATCTTTATTTTATTTTTATTGTTAATGTTTTAATTTTTTTTTAGGGGCAGGGTCTTGCTGTGGTGCCCAGGCTGCAGTGCAGTGATGTTATCATAGCTCACTGCAGCCTTGACCTCCTGGGCTCATGCAATCCTCCCGACTCAGCCTCCTGAGTAGCTGGGACCACAGGAACTTGCAAACATGCTAGGCTAATTTTTTAATTTTTGGGGGGTGTGTGTGGGGGCTTGGTTCTCACTGTGTTGCCCAGGCTAGCCTCAAACTCCTGGCCTCAAGCAATCCTCCCTCCTCTGCCTCCCAAAGTGCTGGGATTATAGAGCTGAGTCACTGTGCCTGGCTGAGCCTCACTCCTTCTCATGGAAGACTTTTTGTCCGAGCACTGATAGACACTTGGTAACCCCATTATAGCGTGGGCACTGGGCTCTTATAAACAGGGGGCATCATATTCTCTCCTTGGTCACCAGGATGACATTTCTGGGTGCACACAAGAAATGTCAACTGTGCTGGGTGTGGTGGCTCATGCCTGTAGTCCCAGCTCCTTGGGAGGTTGAGGTGAGGGGATCGCTCGATCCCAGGAGTTTGGCATTAATTGGTGACCTCCCAGGAGCAGGGGACCACCAGGTTGCCTAAGGAGAGGTGAACCGGCCCACGTCAGACACGGAGCAGGTCAAAGCTTGCGAGCTGATCAGCAGTGGGATGACACCTGTGAAGAGCCACCGCCCTCCAGCCTGAGCCACACAGTCTCTACTGAAATTCAATTAATACAATTATGCTTTAATATAATATAATAATGTCAACTCGCACAGATTCTTCAACCACCCAGGAAAGGCTGACCTCACACTGCACGTGGATGGCGTGACAGTCCTGTATGCGGGGAGAGAGAGCTTGTCCTCGCAGCCACATTAACAGAAGCCAGAGACTGGGGCCAAGAAGAAAGACCCTGCGGGGTTGGGCTGGAAAGTCCTGGACGCCCAGCTCTTCACACCCACTCAGTGCGTGTGATCACAGCTGTAGGATCTAGAATAGATGCGCTTGGCAGATGGCCTCTGAAGGTGGTGAAATGGGGCTTCACGTGGCCAGCTGACATCTGCATGCAATAAGAAGCCAGGTGCTGCCACCGCCCTCCCCCTGTTTGTATCCAGGGGACGGGACTTCTTGTGGAGGTCCTGGTTAGTCTTTACTTCTGACCCCAAGCAGGCAGCTGGATCAAGTTGTCCTGAGAAGGTGATCCATTTCCCTAGTTGGGGGTGTGCAATGCTGAATGCAGCTATCCCAGACACATTTATTCCATATACACCCCCTTCCCAAATTCCATTGAATGAATTAAGTCAGATTCCAACAAGGATGACTACAGCCCAGGGTGAAATAACTCTGGTCTCCCCTCTCTGTAGCTCCCCAAACTCTTTATGTTTTATTTTTTATTTTTTCCTTTTTGAGACGGAGTCTTGCTCTGTTGCCCAGGCTGGAGTGCAGTGGTGTGATCTCGGCTCACTGCAACCTCCGCCTCCCAGGTTCAAGCGATTCTCCTGTCTCAGCCTCCCGGGTAGCTGGGATTACAGGCGTGCACCACCACGCCTGGCTAATTTTTGTATTGTTAGCATAAATGAGGTTTCGCTATATTGGTCTGGTTGGTCTCGAACAACTGACCTCAAGTGATCCACCTGTCTCGGCCTCCCAAAGTACTGGGATTACAGGCATGAGCTACCACACCTGGGCTTTGTTTTTCTTTTGAGACAGGGTTTTGCTCTGTCACCCAGGATGGAGTGCAGTGGTGCAGTCATAGCTCATTACATCCTCAAAGTCCTGAGTTTAAGCAATCCGCTTGCCTCAGCCTCCCAGTGTGCTGGGATCTCAGGCATGAGCCACCGCACCTGGCCCAAAACCAAGCTTTCATATCCCAAGCACCGACCTTTATCAAGTCTAGCCTAATCCTCTATCGTCTCCTAAGCGTCCCTCATGAGTGATCACTTCTGAGTCCTCCCAGATGGAGAGCTCACCCACTGGGGGCATATTTTTCCCATTGGAAAAGAGTGGTTATTGGAAATTTCCTCTTTTTTAGAATAGGATTGGAGGTGCTCTCTGGGGTGTCCTCCTACCAAGCTGGCTATTGAAGGCCTCCTGGTGCTCAGGGAGCACGGACAACACTCGCCGTTGCTTCAGCTTCATCTTGAGGCCACACAGCGTCTCCGCCACCCAGGTCTCCTCAGGGGCGAGCTCCTTCTCTGGCTCCTCCTCAGATTGGTCTGACCACTCCCTCTTCCTTTTCCAGCAAAGGGACCTGCGTGAGGGTCTGGGATCTACCCCAGGGGCTGAGTAAAGAAACCAGACCACCGTGTAATGCTTCTGCAACTGATCACCTTAGACCCCGACCCCTAACCCCAAACCACTCTCCATCCTCCCCAGCCTTGTAGACTGCCGGCTTCTCCAAGCCATCTTTCTGACTTTGTCCTCTGTCAACCCCACGTGCCGCTCCTTCCCCTCCCCATTCTTCCTTTTCTCTGTCCTCAGAACATTTCCTCACGTCCTTCCCTGGTCCCTGGCTCTCTGAGTCCCTCCGTTTTTTGTTTGTTTGTTTGTTTGTTTCGAGACAGAATCTTGCTTTGTCTCCCAGGCTGGAGTGTAGTGGTGCAATCTCAGCTCACTGCGACATCTGTCTCCTGGATTCCAGTTATTCTCCTGCCTCAGCCTCTCTGGTAGCTGGGATTACAGGTGCCTGCAATAATGCCCAGCTCAATTTTGTACTTTCAGTAGAGACAGGGTTTCACCTTGTTGGCCAGGCTGGTCTCAAACTCCTGGCCTCAAGTGATCCTACTGCCTTGGCCTCCCAAAGTGCTGGGATTACAGGTGTGAGCCACAGAACCCAGCCTGAATTTCTCCAAACTGGAGTGCAATAGAGCGATCTCGGCTCACTGCAACCTCTTCCTCCCAGACTCAAGCGATTTTCCTGTCTCAGCCTCCCGAGTAGCTGGGATTACAGGCGCGCATCATTACCGCCCAGCTAATTTTTGTACTTTTAGTAGAGATGGGGTTTCACCATATTGGCCAGGCTGGTCTTGAACTCCTGACCTCAGGTGATCTGCCTGCCTCGGCCTCCCAAAGTGTTGGGGTTACAGGCGTGAGCTACCATGCCTGGCCCCCTTCCTTTGTCTTAGTCAATCCTATCCCACCTCTTCTTCCTCCAGTCACCTCACCTGATGGTCCCGACACTTCATCATCCCCCACCTCCCAGAGGGGGTACCCTGAGGTGCTCACCTGGGGGCTCTCCTCCTTATGCTCGGCGAGCAGGATGGTCATGATTTTTCCCAAAATCTGTCCCATTCCATGGACAGAGTCTCTGTTCTGCCCAAGGCCTTTTTCTGGACTCTGCTAGGAGCCAGAAGAGTGTGTTATGAATTCTCCAGGCTGGGAGAAGTCAGGAGTGGAGAACAGCTCTGAGAAGATACTGTTGTCCACTTCAGCTCCCAGGCACCCACGGAGTCCGGTCCTTCCAGTCAGGAAGGTTGGAATATCTGATGTCATTGGCCATTCCAACCTGGCAACCAGTTTGAAGAAAAACACATGTAACTGCCAGGCTGATCTCTTGTCCTGGAGATGCTGAGTGAAAGGTATCTCCTGCCACTGTCCCGACCTCAGACCACTGTCCATAAGCATCTTCAGGGTCTCCGCATCCCTCTGTTCCCTGTCCCAGCAGAGGCTGTGTCCTCTCCACTCAAAGCCTGAGGCATGGTGGGGTCTCCTCTTCTCTGTACATGCCCATTTCAGAGTCCAGTCTGGTGGGAGAGGGAACAGGGTGGGAAATAAAACTAGGGTAAGCAGAAACGATGAAACCTTACAAGAGTGAGATGATCATGTACAAGAGATCCCAGGAACCTTGACTTGATGAAAAAGTCACATCAGAGCACTGAATTTGGCAGAGCTTTTCTGCCGAATGTTCACTGACATTCACTGTCCGAGATTCTATACTGGGGATACACATGTCCTCTGCCCTAAGGCATCTTTGAGTCCAAGAGACATTTTGAAGTCTGAAAATCACAGGAATCTGCCCATGAGCTCATACATATTTCCACTGGTGTCCCCAATTTCAGGGAGTCCATGGATCACCTAAAGCCAGCCCCTCCAGTACGGCTAAGAAACTCTAGTCTATATATCACGTTTTATATTATATGTATTGCTCTGAACTCAGAAATTTCTCTACCATTTATGGATTCTATGAATAAAATATCACATGTACAAAAAGACTAAGTTGAAAAATCTCAGCTGTGCACAGTGGCTCGTGCTTGTAATTCCATCTCTTTGGGTGGCCAAGGGAGGAAGATTGCCTGAGGCCAGCAGTTCAAGACCAGCGTAGGCAACATAGCAAGACCCCATCTCTAAAAAAACAAAACCAAACTAAATTAGCCAGGTGTGGTGGCTGGCACCTGTGTTCCAACAACTTGGGAGACTGAGGTGGCAGGAGGATTGCTTGAGCCCCAGAGTTAGAAGCTGCAGTGAGCTATGATCTTATCACTGCACTCCAGTCTGGGCAACCCAGCATGACTTTGTGTCAAAACAATTTTTAAATAAAATATATAAGAGTTGTATGACATTCAGAGACCACCCAAAGAACCTGTGGGGTCTTGCTCTGTTGCCCAGGCTGGAGTGTAGGGGTGCAATCTCAGCTCACTGCAACCTCTACCTCTCAGGTTTGAGCCATTCTCCTGCCTCCGCCTCCCAAGTGGCTGGGACTACAGGCATGCGCCACCACATCTGGCTAATTTTTAGATTTTTAGTAGAGACAGGTTTCACCACGTGGCCAGGCTGGTCTTGAATTCCTAACCTCAAGTGATCTGACCACTTCAGCCTCCCAGAGTGCTGGGATTACAGATGTGAGCCATCACACCTGGCCAAGGTCTTATAATACAATTTTTGCCAAGACCAATGTCCTGAAGTGTTTTCCCTGTGTTTTCTTCTAGTAATGTCATAGCTTTGGGTCTTACATTTAAGACTTAAATTCATTTTGAGTTTATTTTTGTATATGATGAGAAATAGGGATCAAGTTTCATCCTTCTGTTTATGGATACCCAGTTTTCCTACCATTTATTGAAGAGACTGTCCTTTCCCCAATGAATGTTCTTGGTGCCTTTGTCAAAAATGCATCCACTGGCCAGGCACAGTGGCTCACGCCTATAATCTTATCACTTTGGAATGGTGAAGTAGGTGGACTGCTGGAGCCAGGAGTTTGAGACCAGGCTGGGCACCGTGGTGAAACTCTGTTTCTACAAAAAAATACACACACACGTGTGCACGCACACACACACACACACACACACACACACAAATAGCTTGGTGTGATGATGGTACATGCCTGTGGTCCTAGCTACTTTGGAGGCTGAGGTGGGAGAATCACCTGAGCCTGAGGAGGTCAAGGCTACAGAGAGCTGAGACTGTACCACCGCACTCCAGCCTGGGTAACAGAGATCCCATCTCAAAAAAAAAGACTTCACTGTAGATGTACGGATTTATTTCTGGGTTCTCTGTTCTGTTTCATTGGTCTTTGTATCTGTTTTTATGCCAGTGCCATGAGGCTTTAATTCCTGTAGCTTTGTAGTATATTTTGAAGTCATTTAGTGTGATGCCTTCAGCTTTGTTCTTGCTCAGGACTGCTTTGGCTATTTGGGTTTTTTTTGTGGTTCTATATGAATTGTAGGATTGTTTTTGCTATTTCTGTGAAGAATTGGTATTTTGATAGGGATTGCATTGAATCTGTAGATTGCTTTTGGTAGTCTGATCATTTTCACAGTATGAATTCTTGCAATCCATCAGCATAAGGTATCTTTCCGTTTTTCTGTGTGTCCTCTTCAATTTATTTCACCAGTGTTTTATAGTTTCCCTTACAGAGACCTTCTCCTCCTTGGTTAAATTTACTCGTAGGTATTTTTTTATAGCTACTGTAAATGGGATTGCTTTCTCCATTTATTTTTCAGCTAGTTCACTGTCAATATACAGAAGTAATGTTGATTTTTGTCTGTTGATTTTTATATCCTGCAACTTTACTAAATGTATCAGTTCTTTTTTTTTTTTTTGAGACAGAGTCTCGCTCTGTCACCCAGGCTGGAGTGCAGTGGCCGGATCTCAGCTCACTGCAAGCTCCGCCTCCCGGGTTCACGCCATTCTCCTGTCTCAGCCTCCCGAGTAGCTGGGACTACAGGCGCCCACCACCTCGCCCGGCTAGTTTTTTGTATTTTTTAGTAGAGACGGGGTTTCACCGTGTTAACCAGGATGGTCTCGATCTCCCGACCTCGTGATCCGCCCGTCTCGGCCTCCCAAAGTGCTGGGATTACAGGCTTGAGCACTAAATGTATCAGTTCTAAAAGTTTTTTAGAGTCAGGCATGATGGCTCACACCTGTAATCCCAGCACTTTGGGAGGCCGAGGTGGACACATCACAAGGTCAGGAGTTCAAGACCATCCTTGCCAACATGGTAAAACCTCATCTCTACTAAAAATACAATAATTAGCTGGGCATGGTGGCACGTGCTTGTAATCCCAGCTACTCAGGAGGCTGAGGCAGGAGAATCACTTGAACCCAGGAGTCACAGGTTGCAGTGAGCTGAGACTGTGCCATTGCACTCCAGCCTGGGTGACAGAGGGAGACTCCATCTCAAAAAAAAAAAAGTTTTTTAGTGGAGCTTTTAGGATTTTCTATATATAAGACCACGTTGTCTTAAAACAGGGATGATTTGACGGCTCTTCTCTAGTTTGAATTCCCTTTCTTTCTTTCTCTTGACTAACTGCTCCGTCTAGGACTATGGACCTCCGTCTAGTACTATTGAATAAGAGTGGTGAGGGTGGGCATTTATATGTTGTCCCAGTTCCAAGAGAAGAAACTTTAAGCTTTTCCCTATTCAGTGTGATGTTAGCTGTGGATTTGTTACATGTGGCCTTTATTGAGTTGACATACATTCCTTCTATGCCTACTTTTTTCAGAGTTTTGTCATAAAGCAATGTTGAATTTCCTCAAATGCTTTCTCCTCATCTCTTGAGATGATTACATGGTTTTTGTCCTTTGTTCAGTTGATGGGATGCATCACATTTATTGATTTGCAAATGTTGAACCATCCTTGTATCTCTGGGATAAATCCCACTTGATCATGGTGAAGGATCTTTTTAATGTGCTGCTGGATTTGGTTTGCTAGTATTTTGTTAAGGATCTTTGCATCTATGTTCATCAGGGATACTGGTCTGTAGTTTTCTTTCTGTGTTGTGTTCTTGTCTGGTTTTCATATTAGGGTAATGCTGGCCTTGTAGAAAGACTTTGGAGGAATCCCTTCCCCTTTAATTTTCTGGAAGAGTCTGAGAAGAATTTGCATTGGTGCTTCTTTAAATATCTGGTAGAATTCAGCGGTGAATCTGTGGTTCTTCTTTGACAGTTTTTTTTTTTTTTTTTTTTTTTTTTTTTTTTTTTTTAGTTTCTCTCTTTCTGCGCAGGCTGGAGTGCATTTGCATGATCTTGGCTCACTGCAAGCTCCACCTCCCAGGTTCAAGTGATTCTCCTACCTCAGCCTCCCGAATAGCTGGGATTATAGGTGCGTGCCACCACGTCTAATTTTGTCTTTTGTTTTTTTTGTTTTGTTTTGTTTTGTTTGTTTGTTTTTTGAGACAGAGTCTCGCTCTGTCGCCCGGACTGTAGTGCAGTGGTGCAACTTCAGTGGTGATTTCCGAGATTTTGGTGCACCTGTCATCCAAGCAGCCTACACTGTACCCAATGTGTAGTCTTTTATCCACTCCCATCCCAATCTTGCCTCCGAGTCCCCAGAGTCCATTGTATTTTTTTTTTTTTTTGAGACAGAGTCTCGCTCTGTCGCCAGGCTGGAGTGCAGTGGCGCGAACTCGGCTCACTGTAACCTCCACCTCCAGGGTTCAAGCGATTCTCCTGCCTCAGCCTCCAGAGTAGCTGGGATTACAGGCGCCTGCCACACTGCCCGGCTAATTTTTTGTACTTTTAGTAGAGCTGAGCTTTCACCATATTGGCCAGGCTGGTTTTGACCTCAGGTGATCCACCCGCCTCAGTGTCCCAAAGTAGTGGGATTACAGGCATGAGCCACCACGCCAGGTTGACCATGCTTTTCTTAAGCCACCAAAGTGGTAGAATGTCATCCCGATATGGGACCTCTGGCTAGGGGGGCGTCGGGTTTCGATTGAGGGCTGTCTCCCTGGGGATGTCCTTCCTAGAGGCTCGGCGACCTCGTGCTGTGACTCTGTGATGACCCCGCGGCCTCTTCACCCGTGCAGCTTCTCCCTCGTGTGGATCCGGTGATGGCGGATGAGGTTCGCCTTCTGGGAGAAGGTCTTCCCGCAGTCGGAGCACTGGTAGTTTCCCCCCATGTGGGTCCGCCTGTGCGGCAGGAGGCAGGAGTTCTGGGAGAAGGTCTTCCCGCAGTCGGAGCACTGGTACGGTTTCCCCACCATGTGGGTCCGCCTGTGCGGCAGGAGGCAGGAGTTCTGGGAGGTCTTTCCGCAGTCGGAGCACTGGTATGGTTTCCTCCCCATGTGGGTCCGCCTGTGCGGCAGGAGGCAGGAGTTCTAGGAGGAGGCGTTCCCGCACTCGGCGCAGCCATGGGGCTTCCCCTGGTGTGAGTCCTCCGATGCAGGATGAGGTAGGACTTCTGGAAAAAGGCCTTTCCGCAGTCGCCGCAGCCGTACCGCTTCTCCCCCGTGTGGATTCTGGCGTGGATGAGGAGACACGATTTCCGGGAGAAGGACGGCCCGCATTCCCTGCAGCCGTAGGGCTT